GCCATTTTTTGGTTGCAGCCGTCATTGTTGTTTGGCGGGTCCGGGCTGGGGATTCGAACCCGCCACCTTAGGTGTACGTGGCTGGCGCCTTAGCTGGTTGAGCTATAGGCGCCAAGCCATAACCCTAAAATTTATCAGTTCTACTACTAGGTCAACATACCACAGAAACTTCTGCACACATCAACAAGTAGACATATACAAGAATGGTCATAGCAACATTATTTAAACAGTAAAAATAGGAAATAGCCAAGTATTCAATAGAATAGTGCAAAAACTGTTACAGTCATGAATGGAACACTAAATAAGTGAGAAACAAACTATAACTACATTCATCTGCATAACTGAAATTAAATATCTCAAAAATCCAACAATGAACCAAAAGGCAAGTCAAAGAATATACTCTGTATGACTCATTTAAACAGAATTTAAAGCACAGGCAAAACTAGATGTGTGATAAAATTCTACAAATAACAAGAAACTAACATGCAATGTAGGATGATGGTTACCTCTGGAGAGGAGGAAGGAGGTGTGACTAAGCAGGGAGCAATGACCAAGAGTACTGGCATAGACAATGTCTAAGCAAGTAGAGGCTTCACTCCTGTTTATGACAGATGATACAAAGTACTCTCTCTTCCCTATGCCATAGTTCACAAAATTTTAAAGAAAAATGTGGCTTGGCACCTGTAGCACAGTGGTTATGGCACCAGCCTCATACATCGAGGGTGGTGGGTTCGAATCCAGCCAGGGCCAACTAAACAACTGTAACAAAAAAATAGCCAGGCATTGTGGCGGGCACCTGTAGTCCCAGCTATGTGGGAGGCTGAAGCAAGAGGATTGCTGAAGCCCAAGAGTTGGAGGTTGCTGTGAGCTGTAACACAACGCCAGGCCACTCCACTGGGCAACACAGTGAAACTCTGTCTCAAAAAAAGGAAAAATAAAAATGTGACATCATATAGGCATTTTTATGTGTGTCTATCTTCACCCATCTTTATGTAACTCATGTTACATATGTGCTTAAAAAATGCTCATTCTATTAATTTCAGCTACCCCAATGTTTTTTCTAAAACAATAAATCAAATTAAAATATTTTAATGTATCATATAATTACAAATTAGAATAGAAAAGAGAATAAGTAAAACTATGAGGTCTAATTAAGTAAAAAAATAAGTAAAAAATGAAGTCTAATTAAATATGAGTAAAAATGAAGTCTCATTAAGCAATGGCTCCCTTTCAAGACATGTTACATGCACAACATTTTCACCTGGAGCACTGTTGGTCACACTTTGATGATCACAGGGATAGTTTTTTTTTGTTTTTTTTTTTGAGACAGAGCCTCAAGCTGTCCCCCTGGGTAGAGTGCTGTGACATTACAGCTCACAGCAACCTCCAACTCCTGGGCTCAAGCGAGTCTCTTGCCTCTACCTCCCAAGTAGCTGGGACCACAGGCGCCCACCACAACGCCCGGCTATTTTTTGGTTGCAGCCATCATTGTTGTTTGGCAGGTCTGGGCTGGGGATTCGAACCTGCCACCTTAGGTGTACGTGGCTGGCGCCTTAGCCGGTTGAGCTATAGGTGCCGAGCCACAGGGATAGTTTTTAAAAATATCCATCAGTCTTTGTTCATGATATTTGGTGAAAGTAATTCAAAACTTTAAAACGTAAATATAGGCTCGGTGCCTGTGGCTCAAGCGGCTAAGGCGCCAGCCACATACACCTAAGGTGGTGGGTTCGAATCCCTAGCCCAGCCCACCAAACAACAATGATGGCTGCAACCAAAAAATGGCCAGGCGTTGTGGCGGGTGCCTGTAGTCCCAGCTACTTGGGAGGCTGAGGCAGGAGACTCGCTTGAGCCCAGGAGTTGGAGGTTGCTGTGAGCGTGATGCCATGGTACTCTACCCAGGGGGATAGCTTGAGGCTCTGTCTCAAAAAAATAAAATAAAATAAAATAAAATAAATAAATAAATAAAACGTAAATATAATAAAATCATTCTGAAAAGCTTCACCAATGATAAGAGAGAAAAAAGGAAATGAGAAAAAGAAATAAGACAGCTCTTACAGAGACACGTTCATAATTTTAGGTAAAGCTCTCATTAGTGATTTTCACTTTGTTTCTGTAAATTCTAACAAACACAGAAAAGAGATTGACTCCAGAACAGGTTAATCTTCATATTTTTTTAATGAAGCTGGAAGTATTAAAGTCTATCTCATTGTAAGTAAAAAGACTAAGATCAAATGACTTTATAGTGAATTATGAAGATAAGTGCTACAGAATAACTGAGGGAAACTAGAGTTTCATTTATGCACTAATAATATAAGAAGAGAAAGAACCAGTATATAATCTAACTTTTAAAAAATGGGTCACTATCTAGAAGTTAAGCTCTGTAAGGGCAGAATTATTTTTGGTTCACTATAACATTTCCAGCACTTAAAACAATAGGTACTAAATAATATTTATAATTTATAATATTAATAATGTTAATTATAAAACAATTTTAATAGAGTTCTAATTTTCAAAGCATAATTAAGTATAAAAACGTGCAACTCTTAGCTGCATGACAATTTGAATCACGAAGCGTGATGGATAGGTGCAATCTGATCGCAGGTAAAGTACCAGGGAGTTTGGGTATCTGAGCCTTTAAATTGACAAGAGCCAGCATTTGATTTCTAATAGATCCTCTTTTATTTTGGAAATAGCATTCTTCTGATTTCACATACCAAAAAGAATATGTTTATTATTTTCTAATCAATTTAGCTCAACAATGCTTTGAAAGATCATATTCAGGCTCTCCCTAATTATGGTAGACTATTTCCTATCAATCCACTTCCTAGGTCCTTGTCATGCTGATGTGCTTGTATTTATACTTACCAATCTCTTTACCCTAGTTCAATTTTTTTTTTTTTTTGGTCTACAACGTGCCAAAGGCGTCTCTGAAGTCCTCACACAGTTAAATCCACCAAACTTTAAAGCAGGGGTCCTCAAACTTTTTAAACAGGGGGCCGGTTCACTGTCCCTCAGACCGTTGGAGGGCCGGACTGCGGGCCCTGGGACGAGTCGGCTGCTAAGCAGGACAGGCAGTGGCGGCAAAATCCAGCAGGCTGGATAAATGTCCTAGACAGGCCGCAGTTTGAGGATGCCTGCTTTAAAGAAACAACTTAGCTGGTACCTTCTGCCTAACCTTTCCAGGTATCCCTTAAGTAGTAGTAATGTTCCCTCCTTCAAAATTTCTAACACTTTCCTTATATAATATCCCACATTCATTCTAGGTGTCTAGATGTGTTTCAGAATCTAGGATGTACTGGGATTTTAGAAAAATAATAAGGAACAAATATATATTATATAACACCTCATGGAAGTCTGAGGTAGCACTTTGTTACCAAACTCATTATAGTATTTCTTCAGTGAAACATGAATATTCACAAATAAACAAGAGAAACAATAAATAATAAGCAAGATCTTTTTATCTCTTTTTTTGAGACAGAGTCTCACTTTATCACCCTCAGTAGAGTGCCATGGTATCACAGCTCACAATAATCTCAATCTCTTGGGCTCAAGTGATTCTCTTGCCTCAGCCTCCCAAGTAGCTGGGAGTACTGACCACAACACCTGGCTATTTTTTTAGAGATGGGATCTTGCTCTGGCTCAAGCTCGTCTGGAACTCCTAAGTTCAAGCAATCCACCCAGCTTGGCCTTCCAGAGTGTTAGGGTTACAGGCATGAGCCACCAAACCCAGCAATAAGCAAGATATGAATAACCTTACACCAATTCTGGACAGTTTTTATTGCCAAATGAGATTATTGAAAATTCATTTTTAAAAAATGCTGGCTTTTCAAATCTTTTTAGATTTTAGGATGATAGAGAATATTATGGGTCAGTATTAAAAATATTCTTTATTTTATGCTAGTTATCTTTGCTCATCAGCTTTACGAGGCTCTTTGATTAATTCATCTCAGAACATAAGCCCTATCCTAATGTATTAAGTGCTCAATTATATATTACATAAAGAAATTATTTTTGAAGCAAACAAAAAATATTTCTAAAACAAATATGGAAAAATGTTAAGATCTGATAAACTGGAGTTTTGAATAGTCATTATATTAGTCATCACAGCAGAGCGTTTGAAATGTTTTAATTTTCTTCAAATCCTAGAAAATTATTTTTTTGTTACCCATAAAAAGATTGAAAAGATGGTATATCTAGCAAAAAGGAAAAGTACTTAGGTATCATTAAAAGCAAATAATTCTGGGCGGCACCCATAGCTCAGTGGGTAGGGTGCCAGCCTAATATATCAAGGCGGGTGGGCTCAAACTTGACCTGGGCCAGCTAAAACAACAATGACAACTGCAACAAAAAAATGGTCAGGCATTGTGGCAGGCACCTGTAGTCCCAGCTACTTGGAAGGCTGAGGCAAGAGAATCGCTTAAGCCCAAGAGTCTGAGGTTGCTGTGAGCTGTGATGCCACGACCGGCACTCTACCCAGGGTGACAGCTTGAGACTCTGTCTCAAAAAAAACAAATAAATAAAAATAAATGTACATTTAAAAACATTACATATTATCCTCATTTGTTTAAAAAAAGACATCCAAATTCAAAATTATTACTTGGCCAATGACAGATACCAGTAAACCTTTCATAAATGTTAATGTAATAATAAAGCAGACTACTTACAGGAATAAGCTGCACAACAGAATTATACAATATCAGAAGTACAAAGGATCTCCAGTTCAACACTTATTATTAAAGAGGGCTAAAGTAACTCTCATTGTCATAGAGTAAATGACACAGAGCTACAACTAAAACATGTATTTTCACACTCTATCCAGCCAGTCGTTTATTCATTACACTAGTATGCTGAATACCCTAAATGGTTTTAATCAAAATTTTTGCCATACATAGTGTCATTTTCAAGTTTATGTACATAGCTAGAATATGCCTAGCCACCAAGTATATTATGTTCAATTATCTACTGTTCTCAAATGAATTTTCCATGTTTACTTTAAAAAATAGTAAAAAATATTAATCTTTCTATTAAAATAATCTATATGTTTCTTAGGTAACTGACAAATAGCAGAAGCAGCATCAAAGTTTAGAAGTCAAGAGACCTTCTAGGTTAATATTATCTCTACATATTTCACAGGTAGGTTTTTAAGATAAAGAGGAAACGTCAAAGTGCTTTGAAACTACCAAAATCCCCTTAGGAATATAGGGTATCTGTTAACAGATGCAGGCACACTGACTTTTACATATCAAATTTGAAAGAACTTATCTTAGCACAAACAGTGATAAGAAAATAGTGTAATTTTAAGATTACTTCATGTTTAAGCCTTTCTCACCAACTTTAAATTCCTCGACATCTGTGAAATTACGTGAAGTATCATGGATACAGAATTTACTTTTAATATATACATTTTATACATAAGAGGAACATAAAAGCCTTCAAGCCAGTAAGCTGCCCTTTCTTAGGAGTAACAACCAACTCAAGCTAATACATATTTTATGTACAACAATAACTAACTCAATTATGCAGAAATAGCTCATACAACTATTTTGTAGAATTATGTCATACCAGGACAGCTAGAAACAGGTGTCCCCATATTAATGAGGCAAAGTGCACAACGAGGAAGGGGTTTTCGACAGCCAGGACAACTTGTGACTTTAGATTTCGTTGGCGAGCCACTCACTCCATACTGACTAAAACCTCTGCCCTGATGAGGCACAGCTGAACAGCTGTAGGAGATTGACTTGCCACAGAAATTGCAACTCACAAACACCTAAAACAAAATGAAAAAAAGGAATAAATGTGACACAAGCCATAATGGGATGATGAAATTTGATCCTAACAAATTATTTTAGAATCATTTTTAAAATTTCATTTTATATTGTAAAATAATTTATTGTTAAGCTTGACTGGTTCTTTCTTATTTAAAATCTCTACTTTGCAGTTACATTATTTGGGTATTTCCTTTCTATTTCCTTGGTTCTTACTAATAACATTGAAATTGATAGAAAAACTCAGAATCTTTATACCCCAACATTTTTTTTTTTTTTTTTTTTT